TTTATCGCTTAAGTACCACGTGCATGCATCACAACATGCATCAGACATTCGAAATAACTATTTACAAGTGACATAAGAGGCGTAGTACGGAAATTCATGATATATATATATATAAAACAAACAACTGCAACAAATATACTCTTCAAAAAAAGAAACTTGACACTGACTTTCAAAATGTAATATAATGCGATTGTTTCAAAATAGGACACAGAAACCATAATTGAAACACTGTTTGAAGATCAATGTACACAATGTTCAAAACATTAATCGTGTCACCTAGACAGACACACGTACACGATACAGTTAATGTCAAAGGGGTACAGAAAATGTCAGTATCGGTTGTGCCCAACATGTGCATCAATCACCGCTTGACACCGACGACCCATAGATGCAATCAAGTTGTCAATAACACGCTGTTGGATGTGCTGCCATTCCTGCTGAAGTGCATCAAGAAGCGCCGGAAGTGTTTGGGGCGGTGGATTCCTTCTGCGAACGCGTCGATCCAACTCGCCCCACAAGTGCTCAATCGGGGACAAATCTGGTGGCCGGGCTGGCCAAGGTAATGTCTGGATGTTGTTGTGCTGTAAGAAGTCCTGACAAACACGTGCAATATGCGGTCGAGCGTTGTCCTGCTGGAACTGTCCGCCGTGAACGTTGACGTGAGGAAGAACGTAAGGCTGTAGGATCAAGTCTCTGTAACGCACACCTGTCAATGCACCTGCCACATGCACGAGAGGCGTCCTACCACCGTGATGAATTCCGGCCCATACCATGACACTCCCGCTATCAAATGGGACAACCTGCTGCACACAGTTGGGGGCGTAACGTTCACCCCGACGTCTGTAGACACGTGCGCGACCATCAGCACGTGTGAGTAGGAAACGGGACTCGTCAGTAAACATTTCTCCACCTTGCACGTGCCCATCTAACCCTCTGTTGGCACCAAAGCAGACGGTCCGCCAGATGACGTGGGGTCAATACATGACGTCGAACAGGTCTTCGTGCAAAAAGTCCAGCCTCCCTCAGTCTGTTGCGTACCGTTTGATCTGATATTGTGCGTACCCCGGGGATCTGTGTGGTTGTAGACGTGGCCGTGGTAGTGCGGTCTCGGAGGTGTCGCAGCCGGATGTATCGATCTTGTGCTTGGGTTGTCCTCCTTGGTCTTCCTGACCTTGGTCTGTCGTCAACTCTGTTGGTGTTGTTGTATCGGGTCCACAGTGCGGAGATTGTCTGTCTGGATACGCCAAAGTGCCTGGCCACTTCTTGTTGAGTTGCTCCGGCTTGTAATCTCCCAATGGCGTTGTTCCGTTGAGCTGCCGTCAGTCTTGGCATTCTGTCACCGCCTCTACTGCCGTTTTAAGGACTGTATGAACAGCCGTTGATGTGGATTTTTATACCCATTCAGCAGGGGGGCCTGCATGCCTAAATGCAGGATCCTGTGCTGCACGTTTTTTACAGGCGGTTGCGTTTGGATTAAGCTGTAAAATTGATCCCCAAACGCTACGTTTATGTGCTTTGCATGTGTTTTCGCGAATTATAGACACATCATCTTTCTGTTTGACTTATTTGGTTCTCATTTAATGTAATTATTTTAGATATTTGGCAAAAAGTGGTTTTACATCTATGTCAAGTTTCTTTTTTTGAAGAGTATATATAACTTTTTAACAAAATTGTCACTTATTGAGAATAAAGTTTTGTATCTTTGCTTCAATGCATTTTGTAAAAAAATTCATAATTGGTATCAACTCAAAAACACTATTTGGAAGTATATTTGCAAAGCCATAATTTCATTCATACTCCCCCATTGAATGAAGTTTCACCAGCTACAATTTACTTAACAAAATTGAGCCAACGTTCTGCTACAAATGTGGATAGGCAGAAGAGTTTACCCTAACAATCACACTATAGGCACTCGACTTGATTGGAAGCACGTGAACATTAAAATTATAAGTGACTAGTACATGTAGCACAGGAACATAATTATGATAAGACACAATACGCTGCAGACAGCTATAACAACAGTCTGTGGAGAGTGATACACAACACACAGGTCTGCAAACATTTGATCTTTTATCAAGATACATAATATAGAATTATGTCGGTACAATAATTCGTGTAATGGTTTTATTGACGCATATTAGCATGTAGGTCAGGGTGGACATAACGGGCCTCGTAATTAGGTCCTCTTATCTTGAATTATGAAGCATTCGTCGTAACAATTGACAGTTGGGTATCATTTTCTGGCGTAGCCTTCTTTCATGTTTGAAATATACACCCATAAATCAGCAATTGAATGGGGGAAGCTATTTATTTTGCCACAAATGGCACGGGGGGTTGTAAGTTATTGGACATAGAATTGGGTTATTAACAATATGAACTGAAGGTACATTATTGACCAGCAAAGAGTGTATGAATTAGGAGATAAACCTACTGTGTTTTGAAATTTGATTTAGTCCCACTGTAGAATAGATACCTCTTTACTATAATTTTGAATTTTGAATGCTTTGAAAACGGCGCTCTCTTGCAACGCGTAATAACACAGGTGCACAGGTCCGCAATCTTAGAACATTCCGAAAAGTGGTCACAGGTAGTTATATATGTAACAATTATTACTAAAGTTCAAGATTAAAAACACCATAGTCGTGAGTAGTTCATACTAAGTGTTCAAAATACATAGTTTTTCAAAAGAAGTTGACAAATAACACTCCAAACTTAGTCCAAAGAGAGATGTTTTAATTTCTACTAAACTGTTGTACACTGTGGACTGACTGTCATTTCTCGGAATTTTGTGAGAGAGGTCATTTCTTGGAAATCAAACGTGCCATCATTTCTATTGTAGGGGTGACGAGTAATAGAAAAAGGGTTTTAAAATGCTAAACGAATATATTTCTACAGCAAACTTTATCAATTAACATTCTATTATACATTTAACATGTGTAAGTGTTATTAGTTAGTTAGCAATTACCCCCAGTAAACAATAATAAAATCAAAATAAATGCCTCTCCACCCCTAACTTGGATGTGTCAGAACTTGACCTACATCACGGTAACTCACACCTCACAGCTGTCAATGGCTGACAATCTGTGTTTACATTCTCCGTAACGAGTTATAGAATGAAGTAGGATGACAACCCGGATCTATGATGTGGTTCAATATTAACAGGTAGATTATCTGGAATTGATCGAGCCTGCTGGTACATCCATATGATTAGTGAGTGAGTTATAATTTTACATCGCATCGGCAATATTGCAGCCATATCGCGATGAGCCATATGATTACCAATGTGACTGAGTGTGACTAAACAGCCGCTTTTTAGGCTGCAGACGAGCCGGATATTTTTACGAGGAATATGCATGATGTGACCTATTAATTTCAAGATTTCACGGATCCAAAGCCAAATAGTGACAGAACTTAGACATTTGTGTCCCAGAAATAGTGGATCTGTATGATTTTCTTTATTGTGCGTGTTCTGAAATGAATTTCATCAAGTTTGATAAGCTGTCACTTCGGTTGGGACATTGTTTTGTGGACTTTCGAAGGGGAGTGTTTTCTGATGGACTTTCAAATCCCCTCCTGCCAAATTCTAACGTTGGTGGTTGACGGAGATGTCAACGAATATCGATCAGAAAAAAGGTTTGTAAACAAAATGTTGTCATGAATAAAGTTTTTTCAAACAATTTTTATAATGTTATAGTTTACTTTCATTGTCGGTTGTTTCAATGAGGAAATAGCTTAAATTGTTCCGATTCTGCTCACTATAGAACATTTCTCTAACAGTTTCATAAACATTTCATTTGAATGCAAAATGTCATCTTTAATGTCATCATCGAAGCAGTCAGGGTTGCGGCCTAGAACGCCCGAAACATCCGACATCAAACTACCGTATTTCCTCTATTTGACGCTACGCCGTCTATTAATTTCGCGAGAGCCCTTGACTCGGCGTGTATTAGGGACCTGGCTGGTATTAGAGACCCTGCGTGTATTACAGGAAATATAGATATGTTTTACAGTTCATATAGGGGTGATAGATCGGCAGCCATTTTCTATGAATCGATATGTAGGCTATCTATGTATTCATACGCACGTTTTTTTTGTGAAAAGGCTTAATATATTCGAAAGGGGTTTCGGTAGCAAAAAGGAAACCACTTTTTAACCAATCAGAATCAAGCATTCATCAATGTCATTGTAGAATTATGCTTTTTTACTACTCACGATGCGAGTACGTATTGTAACCCAACTGTTTCCTGTTCATTCTAAGTGAGCGTATCTTGGCCATCTGATCTAGATGCAACTTCCACCCAATACGTGTTATCAGCATGTGGACCATCCTGTGTCCAATGCTTTGTAATGGTCAGTGTTTTCTGTGTGTGTTTAAACTTACATGTATATGTTATTAGACATTTGTATTGTATAACTGATGGATGTAATGCGAGTCAAGAAAATGATGCACAAAATACAAATGCACTTATTTGTATGTCAGGACTCACTGTCAGACTGCCTTCGTGGTCCAGTGGACAGAGCGTCTGCCCGCATAACGGAAGGTCGGAGGTTTGTTCCAACCAAAAGACGTTAAAAGATGGTACTCTGCCTGACGTTCGGCATTAAGGGGCTAAAACAAGCACAGGTCGGCTCGGAGTCAGTATACTGTATCTGAGTTGGGTATTCATGTTAAAATGCGGCATGGTATCTCAGTAGGCTAGCACTATAAAATCGACATTAGTCTGGACTAATACTAACATACACATACACCTCCACGCCTTCATGCACGTCGCTATAATGTGGAATAATCTTGAATGCGACGTTAGATCCCACTTCACCTCATCTCATGATCACCAAAGTGTGTCAACGTGACCTTTTGTAACTGTTGTGTCCCCGCCTGGTTTGAGAACATAATTCATCATATGGGAAGCTTCATATTTAGAAAATTCCTATAACTCAGGACAAGCACAGTTCAACATGTACATGTTATGCAACGTCAGCTAAATACAAGTAGCACATACCGTTCGTTCTCCAAGATTGCTTACAGAGCAAAATAATCTGGCTGTTTCTCCTTTACTATATGTTAGACTCTCCGGAACATCATTAAACTCAGGCTCGATGATTCGGATTTCAGGATCCGTCCTCCCAACTGAAAAGATAAAACACAATTCGCTGACACAGTGACTTTTGATACATAACAGAAGTATGTGATTCAATGCTGCGTTATCCCAACGCGTAAAATATTCACTACATTGTAGTACGTTTAGTCTGGCGTTGCAGCAGTAACACATTATTGACTGTATCCTCTGATAGCTAATAACCCGGATGACTGTCTAGACTTTGCCTGGTGTAAATTCTGGTTGTGGACACTCTTTCGTTATTTGTGTGCATTAGCACTGGTGGGTTCTGTCAGTAGCCACAAAGTCAAGTCAATTCCAGCCTCACGAAACATTAAAGATTTGTCGCAACTCTATTCCTTCTGTGTCTGAGACTGACCATTCATAATGGCCTTTATTTACTTCCGACACGAGAAAGTCGCCCTACGCGTAAGAAGCAATAACCTAATCCTTCATTGCCAGGTACATGCACGCCACAACCGAGAGTAGTTTAAACTGAAAAACCGCTGATACGGTGTCAACAAGATCATTTACCGAAGTCGATACCTGAAAATGATTCTTTTAATCTGAAGCATTGAAAAATGTCTTCTTGCAGTGCATGTTACCCCGCATCATTTCTAATGTTAGTATTGACCGGTAACGTGCCTAGCGAAAGGACCACTTATGAAACATATTGATTGTGAAATTCCTTTTCCAATATCCATACAGTTATTGTTGCAATTGATTGAATTACGCCGGAGAACACAATGTTGATTGCAATTGCTGCGATCTAAGTCTTAAACAGGACAATATCGGCAATGTGTGAATTCTTGATGCATTGTCTCATACATCGATTAGGAGCTCGCCTAAACACCAAACACCAACCAATAGTACTGAAATTAAATACGATTCATCAATCAATCTTTAAAACTTTAAACAATTAACCTGGTGTGTTGCATGGCTTATTTTCCTTAATAATTTTTATCTACCATCCATTTCAATTTACACAGACCAGAACACAAATGTCGATATTGAGCTAAACGATTAAGGCCACATTTGATCAGCTGTGTGGGAAGCGTTGCGAAACTAAAAAGAAACTGCGATAGTTACCGATATTTAATTCAAGTCACTATATGAGAACATATCATTCAACGTTTGTGAATCCAGATATTAAAAAAAGGATTACAAAAGAAATATGCACAAAATACAGTCATGTATAATTCCTCTTCACTAAATAAAGGTCAATGGCATTTTCGTGTTAATAATCTAAAATAGATGCGTAGGGTAAGATATAAAGGTAAACCCAATCTTTGCACAGAAATAGTATTATTTACATCAGTTTACTGGTACGTTTTGATGCAAGCATGTATCGCAAAATATAAAAAGGAGTTTAAGATTTCTTTTGTTTTGAAAATGTTTGGAACCATCATGGAATTAATTAGTTATTTGTACTAATTCGAACTCTCCAACTGAGAACCAAGATGAATAATTATAGAATACACTCGTTCATAGGTTCAACATTAACCAAAGTTGATAAATTAACTAATTTGATCTAAGGTGACGTCATTAATGTAATGGTAGTTGTCTCCCTTGTACTGACGTCTCTGAACATCATACCCAGGGTGCCGTACGTGATTACACCTATCCTCTTTTTCGCAGCAGGAGCCTTTAAGGAGATATTGGCCATCAAAGAAAACTAGCCACGTCGGACAAGTCAAGGACGTAAAGGTTATAAAATACGCAGTGATAGTGTTATAACTAGCGGCATCAGTATAACATTGTTAACGCCGATAACAGTGCAACCACAGGGATCCGTCTGATTTGGGTCAGTCGGTACTTTCCATATGGTTCTTTGATATAAAGAATGTGAAGACCTAAAGGTTCGGCGTTCCCAATAAGTATGTAGGACAGAAGAGTTATTCTAGTCTTCCATCACCGGAATACTCGAACCCGCGTGTGTATGAATGAGCCTGTGTTTTATCCTGTCGTTTTTTTAATGTTCATTCGTATTGTGCTGAATGTTGTTTTAAATTGCAGAACAATATTCAATTTCAAAGTCGTTGTCAAGCATCTTCTTTATTGTTTGTACCGATATTTCACCTGACGAAGGGGAAAGAAGTAGAAGTCGCTACGACAATAACGAAGTTGGTATCCTTAAAAATGTTATAGTGCATGCGCTGGTACGCTTCATCATCACAACGTTAATAACTAGCGGTAACGTGCAGGAGATGCGTTAACTGGTCAGTCGTAACTTTAGTTCAGTGTTTGAGTCTCCATATTGGCTGAATGAATTCTATCCAGTCTTTTCTTGTTTTGACAGAAACATTATTATTCAGCCTGATTCTGGAGATCAAACAAGGCATAACATGTTTAGGATGAAGACATTTAACGTTTACCTTATGGAATAGTACTAGTATTTGGATAACTCCATGGAATTGGGGGAAATAGGTTCAAATTAAACTATGGGTGTCTTAAGAGACGACTAAAATGGATCGGATGCGTGTCATTGTAAATCGACGGCGTGTCACATTGCTAATAATGTCAAACACAAGTTTGACTGGCTCAGTCTCGATTAATTCATTCCCATTGAGATATAGCTGGTACACTTCCCAGGAGCATCGTAGAAGTAGGACTGTCGAAAGTATATGTTTTAGTATTGGTCTTGCGGCCATGTTTATAAAAGGTCGCTTTGTGGAAGAAACACTGAATATACTACATTTTCTGTTTTGGGGAAAATACTGACGCAATACTACCGGTTAAACAGAAAAGAAATGCTGTGGACCCATTCTAAGAAATATATTTCAGAAATGAAGATTTTTCCTGAGTTCCATGAATAAGTTGTTTTCATAACAATTACGGGATCGCTGTAAATATTACCTCTGAACTTGATGAAAATAGTTAATAACCGGTCTCCATCTATCAAACTGACATGAGATAATACATGTAGTAAAATAGCAAACACGAAATATTACCAAAAAAAAACATTATAATGTCATTCATACGAAGATTTACATTTTCAAACATATCAAACCCTCTTCAAACTACACACACAGGCGGTTATCTCACTAAATATTCGCTATCTAGTACGGTGTACCATGGACACAAATGTCGCAGTCGACTTAAGTCCTTCAATGTGAATTTCCCTAACAGATACAAGACACGATTTGAGCGTAGATTGTCCCAAGAGAACCATAGAGAGTAAGGATATCTCGGAAGGGATATCCACCAGACCAAGGTTAATAAATGGACCACTGGGAAATGGGGCAGGTTGGGCTTTATGGCAAAAGTTTCGTTCCAAGACTAATGGCAATAGTAAGGACAGGATGACACTACATATATTATCTCACACAATATACAACTCTCCTGTGGATCAGTATACTGTCTGCACTTCATTGTGCATAGTATCCCAAGTTACACTTTAATATAGGATACGTGGGCATGACCATGTATGCCAATGTGACCCACAAGACTACTGTACACCTGTACGTCCATGATAGCAAAGAGGTTGGGAAACCTTTCTTGGAAGGACTATAAATACAATAACCACAAGTTACATACTGTTCTTCCAAAGCATACTGCAGAAGAGTTATATCTGTCAAAGAAACCAAACCACTTCACGTATGAAAACATTAACAGTGACTTGGATGCAACAACGTTCACAGCTCGGTGTTTCGGAGACGAGATAGGCTCTTACTTTCTTGTAGTGTAACGGCAATGGAAGAAAGCCTACCTGTAAGCCGTTGCGCTGTGGCTAAACAGTACATCAACAAACAGCCACACTGATGGGCATTTAACTTGCAGCAATTCTATATTCGTGTTTTCATATGTCGAGGATAGGCATTTACAAGTACTAAAGCCTGACGGGTTTATTTGTACAGTGATCATCTCGTTTCACTCTAAAAAGTATTTTCCATGTAATTGGGTTGTTTGACCTGATACAGACTATATTAAGGGCCCGGATTTGATGGCTCAAGGCTGTATGCAAAACAATATTCTTCTACTTGTACGACGAAAAAACCCGAACAAAATCCTGTAAAATATATATCAACTGTCTTATGCTGGTGACTATTTTGTACAAGATGCTTTTCCATTTAAATGACCGTTTTTCGCAAACATAAGGATATGTACTCCCCTACCGGTGAGGATTGTCTCGTTCACATGACTAAATGAACAGTTCTGACTGTATCGTCCTGGAGTAAGTGTAATTATTGTTTCTTGCAGCTTGCCACTCAAGTAATGTGTAAACAGACAATGCTGGAAATAACTACTCTCGGCCGACAGATGAAACGCACCATCTGTGCAATGCGTGGTGATCTTTTGGTTGCATCACGACACGCCATGTTTGAACGTTAAGAAAGGCCAGCGATCACATATCACATATACATTTTGTCACACGAATACAACAGATATAACAGCCATGTCACCTGAGAACTATGTTTCAATCTATATGTAACTACTCGATCGTTGCTTACGACATATCAGTGTTTAACGTGGGCGAAGAAAAGATACGTATAGTGTGGCTCATTTTTCATACCGTTGGCAGGGACAATGAAGTCTTCTTTCGATTGTTCATGATTATGAACACACAGTGAAAAAGCAATCCCCGGCGTACTCCTGTAATTACATGCCATGCATTTTTCCACGAATTGTCTACTCATCTTTTCATGGTGTCCCCACAAGTCAACTTTATGGCTATAAGCTATAATAACGATCATGGCGGCCTCATTTGGTCGTCAACTAATGGCGTTCCATATGGATACATGTATATGTCATTTCTTGTCACTTTTTGACGTCACCTGTCTGCTGTCGTCCCCACTTTGTCTCCCTTTCAAAACGTCTTCTCTTGGTCTCATTACATCATCAGTATAGGATCCTCATATCATAGCATCCCCTGTCAGATCGTCGGTCATAGCTTACAAACTTCTGTGAAGTTTGTTCGCGACTAGTGTACATTCAACTGCCAATCATCTAACATATCCCTCGAATGATTCTAAATGGAGGTTAAACTGGTATCTCAAAATCCAGTTTTAATATGCATACAATGGACTTCGAC